TCGGGATCGGCGGACAGAAATTGTCGCCCCTCCCCTCTCGGGGGCCGCGCCGGGCGCAGGTGGGCGGGCGCTTTGCCCAGGAGCAGAGTAGGGAAGGGTCCTGCGCCGCTGCCCGCAGCCTACGGCCAGCCCGAGCGTCGCTGCTCAGTAGCCCTCCCGGGGCCGGGCCGCGGTGGGGGAGGGGGCTGCGCGGTCTCGGCCCCCGAGAGGGGAGGGGCGACAATTTCTGTCCGCCGATCCCGAGGGGGTTTCAAGAGCGGCTCTTTAAGGGACCGCGGGAGGGGCCTGGCCGGTACCGGCGCCCCCTCCCCAGTCGCCTGCGCGGGTTCTCCGTGCGCGGCCCCAGGATGCGGAGGAAGGCAGCTCGGGTCTCACGGCAGGGGTGTGTGGGGACACGGAGTCCTCGAGTGGGGGTGGCCCGAGATCGTGGACAGGGGTCGAGGGGGTGTGTGATGAGCGCCGGCCAGCGGGGTAGGGGTACGGGGTGGCGTGGGCAAGAGAGGGTTAAAGGTGGGGCCAGCCCTACAAACACGCGCACACGCTCCTTACTCAGACCTGTCACACGCGTCCCTCCGGCACTTAGCCGAGGCTGGGGGGAGGGGGCTGGGGCCTGCACTGTCGGAACTCGCGCCTTCGGGCCGAGCCCCCTGGCCGAGGCGCACACACGCTCCAGCGCGCGCACACACCTCGGACATTCCCATAGTGCCTCACGTGACACTCGGCCCGAACGTGCCCACCCTGCCCACACGCTCACGCACGCGTGCTCACAACCTCTGGCCGCTTCCGAACTCCGCGCTGACCCCCGTCCTCCGCCCCGCAAAGGCGCTCATTGACGGCGGCACACCTACACTCATTCACAGACACACACTCCCCCCACATGCCAGCCACAGCCACACATTCATAAACAGGGCCGGGAGAAGTACACATGCACCCCCTCGCTGCCTACTCGTTTGGGAGCCCTGAGTCATTCCTGCCCCCTCGCAGGGCTCCCCATTTCCCTGAGTGCAGGCACAATGGGACAGGCTGGAGTCTCCCTTAGTGGTCTCCGTTCCCCTTAGGCCCCCTTGCCCAGTTTGCTGTCTCTGACACTCAGCCGAGGACTTCCTGTAGGTCCCAGGTCAGGGGCCGGCTGCGCCTGGACGGTTGCCACAACCCCGGTGCAGTTAAGGGAGGCACTTCCTTTTCCTGAACTCTGGGATCCTGCGGGAGGAAGTTGGGCGGGGGCCGCAGAGGCCAGGCTGACTGGTAGGACTGGCCCTCCAGAAGCACTGGATTTCCTTAAGAGCGGCGACAGAGGCCTGGGATGGGAATCTCGGCGGCTGTCGAGGTATTTGGGAAACCGGAGGTCTGGGGGAGTTGACCAGGCAGGTTCTGGGCTGTGCCAGTGCTGGGACAGTAGGTCTCCCATCCACAGGTCTCTCTTGGTTCTGGAAAGAGCCCTTCCCTTCACTGTGGCTTCCTTGACCCTGTTTATCAATTGTCCCCTGACTCCACTCATGAGGTCCATCTGGTTCCATCTCCTTCCTCGACGATCGGTGACAGTGGCGGATAGACGTAACCTTCTGAAGGAGAATGTGTTGTGGGATCTGGTCACCCAGCCGAAACTCTACACCTACTACAGGGTCCTCAGACCAGGATGGGGGAGCTGGGGACAAGCACCAGGTGGTTCTCTTCACGCTGCTCCTTTTGCTCTCTCAGGAGGCCCAGTGTGGGCTGAAGCTCTTACCATGGAGTCCATGTTTGAAGATGACATCAGCATCCTGACCCAAGAAGCTTTGGGGCCCAGTGAGGTGTGGCTGGATGGTCCTGGAGACTCCTCCCTTGGAGGCGACATGTGTTCTGCCTCCCACTTTGCTCTCATCACAGCCTATGGAGATATCAAGGAGCGGCTAGGGGGCCTGGAGAAAGAGAATGCCACCCTCCGCCGGCGCCTCAAAGTCTATGAGATCAAGGTCAGAACCTGCATGGGATGGGAAGTTGGACAGGGATGTTGCAAGGGTGGGAGGGCGCCCGGGAGAGTTCAAGACTACAAAGTCATCATCAGAACTGGAGGCTCATGCTTGAAGAAGTGGCTGCTCTGGTGTGTCAGCTTCGTTGCACCTGTAGCTAATTGGGGGGCCGGGGGGTGGGGGTGGCTCTCAGCTTTGGAGTGGTAGGTCCCATTGGAGAGGGCAGGAATGGGAGTCTCTGAAGCAGTAGGTTTGGGGCGCAGAGTGGTCACTGGGTGGAGGCCAGCCTTCTCTGAGGACCGCCCTCCCACAGTACCCACTGATCACTGATTTTGGAGAGGAGCACGGCTTCCCCCTGTATGAAATCAAGGATGGCTCCCTGCTGGAGGTAGAGAAGGTCAGTCTGCAGCAGCGGCTCAACCAGTTCCAACATGAGGTAAGTCCCTGGCCTTAGCTTCCCGACCAGCCCAACTCCTTAAGCTTCCTGCTTCCATCTGTTTCTGATGCCAATTGCCTTGCCATGGCCCCATCATGACCACTGTCTCCCTAAACCAGCTTCAGCTCTCCTTGTTCTATTGGGAATGGGGTTGGGGAGGTTCGTGGAGCCCCTCTGCTCCCTGTCAAGGACGGCCCTGACCCTGGCACACCTCTCCGGGCCTACCCAGTTGCAGAAGAATAAGGAGCAAGAAGAACAACTCGGGGAGATGATCCAGGCTTACGAGAAACTCTGTGTGGAGAAAAACGACTTGGAGACAGAGCTGGGGGAGATGGTGAGGCCCAGAGAGTGGGGGTGAGGTATTCATGTACCTGGTACTGTGTGATTCTGTATGAGCATTCCAGCCCTATGATTGTGTGTGGCCCTGTGTGCATGTGTATCTATCTGTGATTGATTGCCTGTTTTGCCTTGTGAGTGAGACGGTGTCACCCAGGTCATGGGTGACTCTGTCCCCTTGGCTATGCAGTGTCTCTGTAGGATATATGTGTGTGTGTGTGTGTATCCTATTGTGTATGTATATATATACATATTATATTTATATATATATATACATATCTATCTATAGACATGTATAGATAGATATGTATATATCTTACACTGCATCAAAGCTGTACCTGTGGTACTGTGCCCGAGAGAGGGTGCGGGTAACTCTAGAGACAGCTCTTGCCATGAGTGTGATGAGAGTTAGCGTGTGGCCATTTGTGCGAGTGTGTGGGCAGGTGGCAGGATCAGGAGACATGGTCTCTGTCAGCTCCTCACTGTGGCCCTGTTCCAGTTATTTAGCTCCCATCCCTCCTCTAACAAGCAGGGTACATGGTAACCATCTCATTGAGCAACTGTGAGGGGAAAGGGACATTTGGGTAAGACCATTTTCCTCTCATAGTCAGAAACATGTGTGAGGCTCTCGCTGCATGCCAGGCTCTGTTCTCATCCCTCTACGCACGCACGCTTACTCATTTTAGCTCTCACAACAATCAGAAGAGGTAGGCGTGGCACTGCTATCCCCATCTCATACAGGAGGCAGAGGAAGCCCAGTAGTGGAAGCTACATTCCTGAGGGGGTGGGGTGGCTGGACCTAGAGCCGAATCTTTGTATAAATGCCCCTGTGCGATAGTGACAGGGAAGAGGATTGGCTCTGACCTTGCCAGCCACAGTAGCCAGAGACATCTGCATTGCAGGTGCTGGGAGGGGAGGCCTCGCACCTGTGGCCACTTGGAGTGTGAGTGTGGGACACTTTAGCAACCTCTGCTCCAGTCTGGGGAGTGATGACTACCCAGCCTTGGGGACTCTTGGGTCCGGGAGTCTATGGCACTCCCTGGCCCTGTCCAGATGCTGAGCCTTCTGTCTTTCCCTGCAGCGGGCCCTGGTAGAGACTCACTTGCAGCAGATCTGTGCCTTGGAGCAACAGCTGCAGCAGCAACAAGGCCTCCGGGATGCAGCTTTTCCCAGCCTGAGCCCCCCATCTGCCCCCGCCACACCCTGTCCTGACCTGGACCTGCACTATCTGGCTTTGAGAGGGGGACCTGCCTTGGGTCATGGTAAGTCTTCAGTGACCTCTGCCTTCCTGATCTCCAAATCTCCAATCGTAACTCTCCTTTCAATACCACTGGGCACCTCCGACTTGCCTAAAGTCCCCATACAATTCTTTCATTTACTCATTATTTATTTATTTGAGATGGGGTCTTATTATATAGCTCTCTTTGGTCTGGAATTTACTATGTACACCAGGAGATATCCTTGAATTTGGAATGCTACGCCTTATTCTGCTTCCCTGGAGCTGGGATTACAATCATGTGACACCGTACCTGGCTTCTTTCCAATATCTTAAATTTGTTCAAAATTATTCCATTCTCCTCTCCAACTGTTCTTTCACCTCAGCCACCCTTTGACAAATTCTCCCACTGACATACCTCTGCTGTTCAGATCATAAAATTCTTGGGTATGCCAGCAGAGGGCGGCCCACTCAGAGTCCCCCGAGGATGCTCCAGACTTCTGGTTCTAGCCTGAGACACCTTCCAGAGGCCATCTTATCTCCCCCCACCCCTGGCCCACAGCAGGGTTGAATCTCCATCTAGCCCATCCTAATTTCCCTTGTAATAGTATCTCTCATCCCTGGGTGTTTGGCTTTATCGTGGACTGAGTTCCTCCCCTATGTGTTTGGCTTTGTGTGGACCTGGGAGTCAGCGGGGGGGGGGGGGGGGGGGGGAGTGACGGACAGCTAGAGCCTACCTTACCTTGTCTTGTCTCCCGACGGCAGGCTGGCCTGGCCCTGCTAGCGTAAGTGTGAGCGAGCTGGAGCGAAGACGACTAGAAGAGGCCCTGGAGGCTGCGCAGGGGGAGGCTCGGGGGGCGCAGCTGCGGGAAGAGCAACTCCAGGCAGAATGCGAGAGACTGCAGGGAGAGCTGAAGCAGCTACAGGAGTCCCGGGCCCAGGTAACAGTGACTTTGGAGCTGCCCTTAGATGTACAGAGCATAGATCAGCAGAGAAGGGGTGAAGGCAGAGGGGAGGCTGGGCTCTGACCTCTACTTTTCTCCTCAGGATCTGGCCTCCAACCAGTCGGAATGTGACATGGCTTGGGTAAAGAGAGTTGGGGATGATCAGTAAGTCACATCTGTAACCCTTGCCCTCTCAACCCCATACGCTAGGAGACACCTCAGGTCTCCATCGTTTGCTTTCCATCTGTCCACATTATTTGAGAGACCTCTTTTCTAGGTCTAGGGTGTGATGTCTGGGTTGCTTACACTCTGCCCCCATTACAGGAAGCAGGGAGGGCACTGGAGCGCTCAGGTTCTGGGACCAGGCCCAGAGGCTTGGGCTGGGGATGCACTCAGTGGCTCTGCCACCCTGTTCTGTATTCCCCGGTGAGTTTTCTGTAGCAGAAACAAAACTTAGAGGGTGAGAGTACATCCCTGAGGAGGGAGTCGGCCTCCCTGGATTAGGATTCGGCCTGCCGCGTCTGTTTATTTAAAGGGAAGAGTCCTTGAGGTAGGAAGAGAGTAGAGTCCCAGAGGAGAGGCCTAGAAAGCAGGAAGAAGCTGAGTGTGTGGGGTACATGACAAGGGTCTTGGGACGTGCTGGGCAGCAGTGCAGCCTGGCATCGTTCACAGCTGCCCGGCACTCAGCCTCACCCACTTCTGAGAAACAGTGCTTAAACCTCCTTTTGCTTAATTCCTCTCTGGTGAAATGAAGCTAAAGGTACAAGCTTCATCCATCCCTTACCAGAGAAGACTGGGGCCCTGAGTGGGGCAGGAATTAACCTTCCCTCGGTGGCATACCCAATTCCCAGGATTCCAGGGGTCCTCCCTCTCAACAGGTTTTCTCCTCATCCTTCCCGTTTCTGGCCAACGAGAGGTCCCCCTTGCTTCCTTCCCCACCCTGGGGTGAGGACTTGGGTGGAGCTGTGACAGCTGAAAGGGTGAGAACCTAGTTTGTGGGACTGATGAGGGGGAGACCCCTCCCTCAGCTAGGCTTCTGTGGGGGATGGGAGGGAGCTTTGTGGAAAGGGTCCACCCTAGCTTGTGGCTGGGGCTCTGGGACCATGGTAGTCCATATATTCAAACCTGGAAAGCACGCATATCCACGTAGAGTAGATCCTTGCTGAGCCCCGAAGGTCTCCTTAGGGGTCAGTGAGTCCAACCCCTTCTTATAGTGAAAAATCTTGCACTTAGTGGAGGCTTTGGCAAGGCTGGATCCCAGAACTCTTCCTGGGCTGGGGAAAGGCCGTGCATTCTTGACTTACCCTTTGTCCCTCTGGACCTTGGGTTCTCCTCCTGTGCTCAGAAGTCAGTCATTGCTGCAGGATGTGAGAGGAAAGTGAGGTAAAGATGGGAAGAGGCAAAGAGAGTGGCGGATCCTTCAGGGCTAGGACCGCAAGTACCGAGTGACAGATAAACCATCTCAGAAGGTGTTTGGGAGGCTGCATCATCCATATTGCTTGTTCTGGCCAAACTAATCCCTTCCCTGCCAACCCAAGGGAACTGGTTGAGGAAATTCTCCCAAGGTGCAGCGGGCTCCTCCTAGACCTGACTCTGGCTTCCACAGGCCTCCTGGATCTCTGTCAGCCCAGCAGATCCGACCTGCTCTTTCTTCTCTGTTAGTATAAATGCTTCTGGACAGTCCCCGTGAGGCAGGATCAGTTCTCAGAGGAAGTCCTCACTCCCCTAGTAGTTTTATTTTCTTATAAACCCAGCCTTTTTGGTAATAGGCAATTCCCTGGGGCTTCCTCCCATCCCCCCATCTAAGGATGGCTCAGTCACCTCTTTTCAGCTCCCAGGATCAGCAATCATCTCTTTTATCTACTTCTGCTGACTACATATCAAGTGGGGATTTTATTTATTCGTTTGTTTGTTTGTTTGTTTTCTTGTTTGTTTTCCCGAGACAGGGTCTCTCTGTGTAGCTTTGACTATCCTGGAACTTGCTCTGTAGATCAGGCTGACTTTGAACTCACAGAGATTCACCTACCTCTGCCTCCCAAGTGCTGGGATTAAAGGTGTGCACCACCACCACCCAGTCAAGTGGGAATTTTATTGATGGGCTTTCCCAGGGAGTGAAATGCTGGCTCTAAATTATCTGGGGGAAGAGGGCGGTTCTTGAACCCAGCCTGCCTCTAGGAATTAATCTTCTCATCTTGAAAGGTGCCTTCAGTCTCACTTGTTCTCTGGGGCAGCCTCACTGACCTCAGGAACGCTCCACTAAAACATGTCCCCTACAGCAGTCTTGCCTGTCTGAACCCATCCTGGTGCTCTCCGCGCCTAGGAGCCGGCCTTGGAGGCTGCAGTCCCTTGTTCTCAGCTCCTGGCCCACAGACTCTGACCACCACGCTTCACAGCCAGGGTACTGACGGCCGCCAGGCCGCAGGGACCAGGCTGCCATTCTCCAGGTCTGACCTGTGGGTAGGATCTCTAGGAGAGCTTGCTTCCTGGAGGTCACAGTTCAGGGGAGGAAGAACAATGATGAGGGAGGAGGTTGGAGGTGGCGGTGGAGTTCACTGAGCTTGTGAGGACGTTCGGGGAGGTAAGGACCCAGGAAGATCCTTGTCAAGGTGACCTGTGCAGGAACTCTATAGTCCCCTCCCCTGGCCTGCAGATTCCTGGGTGGGACTGTTTGAAAGTATGGCCAGTGCTGGGGGCCAGAGAACCTTTACAGTCACTGCTTGAGGGAGAGAGGGCGCCAAGCAGATAGCAGCTCTGGAAGGTAGATGGGGTCTTATAGGTGAAGGGGCCCAGCGAAAAGAGGGGGAAACCATAAATTATAGGTCTTTCTTTTTTCCTAGTGTGGGGGGCTCAGGGTTGCAACCTGGGACCTTTTCCGCCCACCCCTCCCACCCCTTCTCTCCACCCACAAGCCTCTGCGTGGGCTGTGGTTAGTGGTGGGGAAGTGTGAACTCAGAAGAGAGAGGATGGAAACTCTGCACAGAGGTCAAGGGCAGTGTGGGGTGGGTCAGGACGGAAGTCGGAGACCCCCTTATACCCTGAACCTAGCCTCCTGCCCCCAGAACCAGCAGGCCCAGGGCCTCCTCTGTCAGGCTTCTCACCCTCCCTACTTCCTTTGCTTTAAGTCTCCTTCAGCCGATACCCAGAACAAATTAACCCCTGAGCACTTGCAGCTGCGGGGCACCCTGAGGGTGGGCAGGGGGGTCTGCTGGCCGGAGGGACCGGGTTTTGAAGGCATTTCCAGCCTTGTGCCTGCCAGCTAGGCCCAGAACCGGAGCAGCTCTTGTCCTTCTCCCTGTAGAAGCCAAGCGTGGCCTCCCCTCTCTCATCACCAAGTGGTTTTTATTGTTCTTTGTCAGAGTTTTGGTTTGGTTTTTGGTTTTTAAGACAGAGCACATAGCCCAGGCTGCCTTGAACTTGCTATGTAGCCAAGGATGACCCCTTTTCTCCTCCTCTGCCTCCCGTGTGCAAACATTACAGCATGTACTGCCAACTTTTGTTCTTGTTTTGTTTGTTTGTTTGTTTGTTTGTTTTGTTTATCAAGACAGGGTTTCTCTGTAGCTTTGGAGCCTGTCCTGGAACTTGCTGTGTAGACCAGGCTGGCCTCGAACTCACAGAGATCCACCTGCCTCTGCCTCCCCAGTGCTGGGATTAAAGGTGTAAACCACCACCACCCACCCTCAACTGGTTTTTTCATTTGTTTGTTTGTTTTGTTTTTCCAAGACAGGGTAACACTACGTATCCCTGGGAACTCACTATGTAGACCAGGCTGGACTAGAATTCCCAGAGTCCACCTGCCTCTGCCTCCTAAGTGCTAAATAGCCCTAGTTCACCTTCCTGGCTCTTCTTCCCAAGTGCTAGAATTATAGGCATGAACCACCACATCCAACACACTAAACAAATCTTAAGTCAGTATCCTTAAACAAACAAACAAAAAGCCCAAACCCCAAAATGGGCTTTCTTATGTCCACATCACTCTCATAGACATGAGGCATTAAGAAAGACTTCAGAAACCATGGAAGGGTGGTCCAGACAGGTCCTAGCAGGCAGGGTGAAGAGGCTCACTGTTGCCTGCTCAGGTGGTTCTGCAGGTAGGAGGCCTTTTATAAGAAGGTGACCATGTGATTTGTTGACGAAATTGCATCACTTTTGAAAGTGAAAGGGGACACTATTAATTATGCAACTAGTGTGAGCAGGGACAGGCCAGGGCAAACAGAGGTCCCTGGTTCTTGTCCAACTATGGGTTGCTCAGTCCCACTGTGTCTAGGGAAGCTTCTGGACCCATAGTCATCTGCTTCTGCCTGGTGGAGGCTGCCATAAAAGCTCAGGTCTGGGGACCACAAGTCATAGCTGGTCGAGGAGCATGAAGGGCTCAAGGCTCCGGAAAGGAAGTGGTGGAGCACTGGCTTGTTGCAAAGCGACTTCCTCCTCCGCCAGCCCGCAACCTCAAGTCCGCTCCACGGCCTGGTGCCTGTGGTCCCCTCCCTGAGGGTCTGGCAGGCGGGAAGACTGATGCTGGGTGTGCCTGTGGGTGGGTGGAAAGTTTGGCCCCTAAATTCCCCTGCTGGGTAGGGTGCCTGGGGCAACTAGGGGCAACCAGGGTAAGGATGGAAGGGCTGGGAATGCTGGGTTTCTGGTTTTCTTCCGGGTCTGCATCAGATGAGGGCTCTGACCACAGGCCAGCTATCGTCCTATTGCCGCCCCTGCTCAGGACCTGACTTTACTGCTATCCCTAGTCCATAACCATGGCCACAAAAGAACTGCCAGCCGTGTATCTAGCTGGACCCTGATCCCCGCTTTCATCCTGACTCGAAGCCAGTCTCCAAGTCTCACCCCATCCCTCAAGGCCAGCCTGAGTCCTGACTTCTCCCCACACTGTGGGGTCTGGTGGGGTGGGGGTGGTCTGTGTGGCTCCCAGACTCCTTTGAGGCAGAAAGAAGCTTTGGAGAGGATGCTCAGGTCTTTGACTTTCCTGGATTGCAGTTGCTTTATTAGTGACAGTGAAGACAACTCCTTCCAGGAGGGACTTTGGGAAGGATGAATGAAAGGTTAAGTCAGGGAAGAGTAGCCCTCTCTCCTGCCAGCTCCACCGTTTGTACTCCAGCTTTTCCACAGATGCCAGCCGAGTGGGCTGAGGTGCGGAGAGCAAGTGTTTGACTCACCGCTCTGTATGCCGCTGCTCCATGGCCTCCTACTAGCTCTCGGCCACGCTGACCTTCCACTCCCTTGTAGTCCGTCACTCTCGGACCGCCTGGGCTGCCTCCGAGGTGCCCAGCCTCCTCCTCCTCCTCGTTCTCTCCTGCTTTCCCACTGTGCTTCCTCCCACTTCCCTGAGGTTTGGGAGGTGTTTGTGTAACACTTAGTAGCTGGGTCTTTGGAATCTTGGAGGTTGGTGCTCTTCTCCCAGCTTCAGGACATGGCCGAGTGACTTTACCTCTGTGGACCATCTTCTTACCTGTGACATAGATAGGTGGGTAGGTGGGCATAGGGTAGTCGTAAAGACAAATGAAGTTCCTAGCCCATGATCGGCACTCGTATAGACCCAGGGAAATGTGTGTTGTGGCTCACAGGACCTGTTCTTCCTCAAGTCATAATGGTGGAAAAATCTCTCAGGTGTGGCCAGGAAGTCAGGAAGCAGGGTCTGTGTTTAGATGCACCTGTGAAGCTCTGGGTTGTGTTGTCAAGTTGAGATTTTTTTTTCCACTGAATTGGCAGTGTTTTCAATGAGTCATTGTGGTGCTTAGCATATTCAGCCACCAGTGTGTGAGGAGAGAGATAGCCAGAGGAAAGGCATGTCCCACAGGACTGTGAGGTGTCAGGACAGGTCAGAGCTCCTCACTCTGTCCAGGGTCTCTGTGAGGGTGACCTGAGGCTTTCGGAGGACTTTGTCAGCTTGCTTCAGGGTCGCAGTATCAGCCTGGAGAGAGGCTGTGCACACTGTGGTAGGGGCTTCTTCCTTCCATTTCTTTTTTTTTTGATTTATTTATATTTATTATGTGTACAGCATTCCTTCCATGTGTGCCCACATGCCAGAAGGGGGCACCAGGTCTTATTATAGATGGCTGTGAGTCACCATGTGGGTACTGGGAATTGAACTCAGGACCTCTGGAAGAGCAGTCAGTGCTCTTAACCACTGAGCCATCTCTCCAGCCCCCTTCCTTCCATTTCTTGAAGCTCCATGTTTTTCACTTCAAGGAGAGTGCCAGGCACTGGGCTGTGGAAACTAGGGTGACTCCTGACACCAAGAGAGCCAGCAGGGGAGAAAGGGGCCTGGGGAACTGAATGTGACAGGTGAGATCTCCCAGGCAGAGTGTGAAAGAGACGACCTGTATCTGTCACCTGAGATACAGCGGGGAAGGTGGATGGGGAGAACAGCCATCTCTGCCCTGTGCAGAGCTCCCCCTGGCCTCCACTGCTGCGTGGACAGCACGATCCTGTTCCCCAGGAGCCCTCAGCCTGACTAGGAACACACAGCTCCTGACCTCAGATGGCTTTCAGTCTAAAAGCCAAAGCTTCCGTGGAGAACCCCGAGTTTGGTGTGGGATATGTGGATAGGCTCAGAGGAAGATGCCATTTCTTCCCACAGACTTGTGGGATGGGGGTGGAGCAGAGGGTGTTTTCACAGACATAAGGCCTGAGATATATATAGTGGGTTGGTGGCCATGGCCCAAGTCAGGGCTCCCTGGACGACTCCTGTCTTGGAAGATAGGCAGTGAGGCCTGATTTTCCCTAAGAAGTGGGCTTAGCTCCCAGAAGCCCTATTGTAATTGGATTAAAAGTAGTGTTACACTGTGACCCTAGGTCTGGCTCAGCCCCTGAACCAGAGTGGGGAGCACATCATTACCTGTTCTCTGAAACCCCAGCCTGGATGCCTCTGCTCTCCTGATAGGCTCCCTGCCTCGCACATCTCCAGCCACCGCCCTTTGCCACTCTGGGTGCATCCTCTCGCCCTGGGAGGAGACTGACCCTCAATAGTACCTGTTACTTCCCTACATCCCCAGCTGCTGAAGTTCCAGGGTCCCTTCTGGAATTGTAGAGGTGGGAGAGCTAAGGAAAACCAAACCCTTACCTTCAGAGAGTGCTCAGACCCATCCGAGCCCAGAAGCTCAGATGCAGGCAGGTCTGAAAGCCCTGGCAGAGATCAATTGCTCCTGGGGCGGGGTAGCAGCTCATGGGAAGAAAGAGGGGCAGCACTGGAGTGATAACTCTCATTGTGTGTGTTTGGGGTGGCCCAGAGGGAAAAAAGGGTCCTTTGCTAAACTTAGGAGTGAGTGTGCCCCAGCTCCATGAGTGCGTGTGTTGAAGAGGCCTAATTTGCAGGACATGAACAGGAAAAAACTGGATGGGAGCCATTTCTGAACCTGTACTGAGTAACAAGCCCTGAACAAAGGAACTGGGAAGAGAATACAATGGAACAGTTCTCAATAAAAGTCCACAGCAAGGCAGCCTTTGAGAAAAGCTGAGTCTGGGTGGCACGCCCTGCAGGCGGGCAGTGCCCACCAGCTGCTTGTACGGATATGAATGGGAAGGGCAGGATAGATGTGTTCAGAGAGGTCCTGAGAGGTAGGAAGCTTGGAGCACACAGGCGGCCTTTAGGCAGGGACAAGAGCAGTGGGCGGGCAATGGGGCCAGCTTGGAGGGCAGCGAATCAACCTCTGCCTTCCACGAGTGGAACGCTTCCTAAAGCATGGCTTCCTCCTTCCTTCGTCACTGCCTGTGCAGAAGTGGTCCCCAGTGTTTTCGAGGATGAGGATGTTTCTTATGAGTCCCCCTCCCCCATCACGCAGATTGTTTGTTTAGAGTTGTAGATCTTGGGTATTACAATTTTGGGATTGTGGCCAGTATTGAACCCAGGACCGCACGCTTGCTAGGCAAGTGTTCTACCATAGAGTTAGACTGTGCTTTTTGTCTTGAGGCAGGACCTCACCAGGCTTGCCCTGAACCTGTTCTGTGTCCCAGGCAGTCAGGCTTCAGCTTCCGCGTCAGCTTCCGTGTGCTAGTATGCACGCCTGTAAACTCAATATGTAGCTTTCTTAGGAATCAGCCCCCAAATGGGATTCAGGGATCCCCTTGGAATTTCTCTATTCCACATCCTTGCCCTAGGCGGGGAACCTCTGCTCCAGTATGGGGGACGATCTCTGGAAGCAGAGGGAGGCTCCCCAGAAGAGGTGGCTGTTGAGGTGGACCTTACAGGCAGAAAGGATTCCTGCAGCTGGGGTAGGTGCGAAAGATGTAAGGCAGAGCGGGTTCTTTTCTACTATGGCGGGGGCAGAAGAACCACATCCCTTTTCTTTCCCACCCCTTGCCCTCTGACCTCAGGGTGAACTTGGCGCTGGCCTACACAGAACTCACGGAGGAGCTGGGTCGGCTTCGGGAGTTGAGTTCCCTGCAGGGGAGGATCTTGAGGACTTTGCTGCAGGAGCAGGCCCGGAATGCAGGTGAGACTGCTAGAGACGGACAGGCCCCCAGTGTGGGGAGCAGGGGCGCTGGGCCCAGAAGCCACCTCCCACTCCCTGGGTGAGCAATGTCCACGCGAGCTACTTAACTTTCCTCTCCAACCCTGCTTTCTCTTTTCCAGGTCAAAGGCATTCGCCACTATCGCAGCGCCATTCCCCGGCCCCCGCGTGCCCCTCGCCCTCCCCACCTGCCCGACCGCCGCCCTGTGCCCCGTGCCAGTCCCCTGCCGCACAGCGCCGCTCGCCGGTGCCCCCGTGCCCTTCGAC